ATAATCATTCTTATTTCAGAGAGTGTTGTACTAGTTCCAGAGTGTAGAACTAAAGGAGAGAAATGGGCCTGGGGGAAGCAGGGAATTATTGGTAGGAAGGAGGAATAGAAAGAATAAATACTTCATGTCTTTGGAAATATGACATTTCTCCTCCCTTCGAAATAAAAACAGAGTTTCCATCCTCTTCCAGAGAAGGTGAGATTGTGAATATATTCCTTTTCCAAATATGTTTTTCCAAGTACATTTGTGGAGCTCCTACTTACCTGAGTAATGTTTGCTATGATGCAAGAATAACTAAGCAGCTATTCTTGATTCATTCTTTATTACTTTTAATTTAAAATTTAATGGGACTGCTTTTTTGAGCAAGGAGGAATAAAACCAATAGCCAAGTCAGTTTCAAGAAAGTAGTCACTTTGCTACTGTTAACCTCTGTGTAGTGAAACTGAATTATAGATTTTAAAAAATATATTTAATTTAACTTCATTTACTTATTTATTTTTAATTTAACCAGAGTGGGACCAAGAGAGAGAAAGTGAGAAAGCAAGCCACCAGGTCTAGGACTTGAACCGTGGTTGGTCATGTGGGAGTCCAGTGCCCTTAACCACCACGCCACCTGCTGACCCCGGGTTATAGACTATGTAAATGGAACCTGTTGCTCTCAAAGTCTCAACTTAGGTGTTTCTGAAGAAATATATTGACTACAGAATTTTTTTTAAGTTGCCAGAGAGAGTGTGCACTTGCGGGAGAGAAGGGAGAGGGCATGTGGGAAGGCACCCCCCAGGGTGAGATGGCCACACCAAAGTCCTTTCTCCTTCATTCTCCTCTGGGGATTTTGGGCATGCACACATGCACATAGTGTTTTTCTCAACCGTTGGGTCCAGAACTTGATCTGCAAGGTCAGCCACTTGGGATCCAGCTGCCTTAGCCACCTTCTCACTGTCTGGCCATTTACAAAGTCAAATTCTCCCTTCCTGAATTCAGATATGCTTGTTTACCATAGTAAGTTATGTACAGAGTTCTCTTTCATTATATGAGAACCAGAGAATTTGCCCTTCCTTTTCAAGAGGGTTTTTTTTTCCCCCTAATTAATTTAGAGTCATCAGGATGCTATAATATTCCTGCGTTGGCCTTAGATGTACCACTAACTCCTGGGACCAGCAGTTGGCATAATGGCTATGTTGCTGGACACCCACGTAGTCGACTGCAGTTTGAGTCCTGGACCCGGTGGCGTAAACCCCACCTGAGCAGTTTGAGTCCTGGACCCGGTGGCTTAAACTCACACTGAGCGTGTGTGCGTGCATGCCCAAGATCCTGAGAGGAGAATGGAGGAGAAGGGATTGCAGCATGGCCATCCGCCCAGGGGGTGATTTCTCACTTTCTGTCGCACCCTATAGCAAAAACCTCTCAAAAAGAGAGAGAGAGAGAGAGAAAAATGTACCACTAACTCTTTACTTTGTGAGTTTAGTCATTAAACTTTTCTCTATTTGAAGTTTTAGCTTGGTGAGGTAAATCATATCTACAAAGTAATGATGGTCTAAGAGTTAATAAAATAACACCTGTAGGGTGCTTTGAACATCAGAGAGGAGGAATATAGAAATGCAAGGACAGTATTAATAGTGTTATTATTGTCAGGGTAGATTATATTTCCACTGTTTCATGATTAGAAATAATCCAAGAGTTAAAATTAGAGATAGCTATGTACAGAATATTTTACCAAGTCATTCAAAAGGAATGAATAAACACAGGATATTTTCTTTTGATAATAGCACACAAGTTAACACCATTTTTTTAATGCTACATTTTGTGATATAAACAAATAATAATGCAAAAAAGCATACCTCCTCAACCTGACAGCTATGTCTTCTTGCTGTGACTGACAGGATATCCTGTATTCATCACATCTCTCCACCCTCTCCCCCATCCTCCTCCCTCCCTCCCTCCCTCCCTGTCTCTCTCCCTTCCTTCCTTCCTTCTTTCCTTCCTTCCAAGGAAACCAGAATTGAGATCTGAAAAAATGTGCCCTCATTTGACATACTAGGAAGGGAATAAGAGCTTTTTAAAGTTTCTTGTGGATTGTTCTAATAAGAAGTTATTAAATAAAGTATATTAAGTAGTTCGTCTAAACTGGTACCCTTAGTAGAAAACATTTCTGTACAAATTGACTATTTCTGTGAATTCTAGCATATGCTTCTTTATGTTTCTACTCTCTTAATTTTTATATCCTCATTCCCTATGACCTTTCAGAAGTAGAGATTGTATCTTAAGCCATCTTGCCCAAGTGTTCCCAAATTCAAGCACAGTGGTGGGTGCTTAGTAGGACAGTGAAAGTTAAGTCCTCTTACAGAGAAGGAAGCAGCGAATAGGGCTGGCCCTGGTAATGCTGCCAAGTCCTTGAAACTGGGAGCAGGCCTTCCCAGCGCTTCCTGCAGAGTCACTTCCTGTGAGGTTACTTTATATTTCCGTGCTCTCCGCACCCAATGCCACTCTCGGATTTCCCATACTCATTCATGGGACCTGTTCCCTTCCCTCCGGAGGCTCAGTCCAGTGGAAATCAGTAAACCAGGGATTCTGATATAATGTGATGAGTTTTGACCGAGAAAAACAGGTTGCTCTAGGAACACAGCAGACAGACCTTATATTTAGGAAAAGCGTTTGGTAGCAGGAGGGCTTCCTGAGAGATGGGCACCTCAAGTAGTCAGGCAAAGACAGAAAAGGACAGAGAAGTTCTTATGAACGTAGACGGGAAAAACTGAAACAGTATGTATGGCTGGTGTTGAGGCAGAGAGCTAAACATAATTTGATCTATAAAGAACATAAAGTTTGCTGTGAAGAAGATGAGGACAGGAATTAGGTCTCAGCAGTTTTTCTTAGATTAGGATCAGAAATAAAGTACTAGCTTGGGGACATCCTAGGGTCAGTGGACCTTGTCTAACTTGCTGTCAGAGGCATAGAGTGGAAGATTATAGTTAGCTGAACATCTAGGCTCCCTCAGTCTGCTCACTAAAATCCCAAATGCAGACCATGGTAACCCAGCTGAAATCGTTTTTAGCTATCTTGTTCTCTGGGACCAGAGACTCCATTCTGTCCTCATGGGATCTGCTGTGTTTGCTTGTACGGGACATCAGTGGTGCCAGGAACAGGAATGAATTAAATGGTTGGTATTTTTAAGCTTAAAAATAGCCTGGCAGGGAAAGCCATGTTGAGTGCAGGTCATCGAAGCCTGTCAAACAAGCCCCTTAGTTCCTGTCTTAATGTGACATGTGCTTCTAGTTCCCTGTAGGACTAGTGCCTTACAGTGAGAATTAAGTGCATTAGTTTTAGTTGTGAGACAGAGAATGCCTGGGTTGCATGACTTGAATATTTCTCGTTACTACTAGTGTCAAGGATTGTTTTTTGTCTGTTCTTTTCCATCAAGACAACAGTTCCAGCCCAGCTGCAGCAACACCTGCTGGCTGATATAGCTACTCAGCTGTCTAAGGCCACATGGGAGGCTCAGGTTAGATTCCCAGCCCATCCTACAAACAGCCAGGCATGGTGGCATGATTCTGTAGTCTCCACTGCTTATGAGACTGAGACAGGAAGATTGCAACATAGCAAGACCATATCTTTAAAAAATAATAAATAATAGAGAGAGAGAGAGAGAAACATTCATAGATTTGTTAGAAAATGTGAGGAAGAAACCTGAGGAAAGGGCTTTCACAGTTAGAGTCTTGTAGACAGACAGAGTCTCCAACGATATAGACACATTCTGAGAAATGTATCATTAGGCAATTGTCAGCAGACATCACAGAGTACTATACCAACTTGGATGGGGTGATCCACCACACACCCAGGCTATGGGGATAGCCTGTTGCCCCTAAGCTACGAAACTACAGCATGTTACTGTAGTGAGGTCATAGGCAATTGTAGCATAGTGGTAAGTATTTACGTATCTAAATGTAGAAAACGTATAGTAAAAATATGGCATAGGGACCAGCAGAAGGGCATAATGGTTATGTTGCTGGACTCCTACCTAGTCGACTGTGGTTCCTGACCCAGCAGCTTAAACTCATACTGGGCACATACATATGCATGTGTGCCTAAAATCCTGAGCGGAGAATGGAGGGAAGGGATTGCAGCATGGTCATCTCCACAGAGGGGTGATTTCTCGCTTTATTATCTTTCTGTGTCTCTGGTGAGCACCTGTACCCTATAGCAAAAATCTCTCCCCCACCTAAAAACAAAAAACTCTCCCCCCCCTAAAAAAAAAAAAAAAGGGAAAATGATGCAGTCAAGAAATAGTAAGCAAGAGATGAATGAGGCTCCTGCAGGCTTAACTTGGCATGCTGTTTTACAGTAAACATCTTTTTTTTTTTTTAATGAGTAGAAGTACATTCTAAAATAATGATTACAAAGTGTAGTACAAAGCCAGTAGGTAATGTGGCGGGTAAAGCACTGGCTCCCACATGGCCAAGTTTGAGGTTTGGGTTCTGAACCTGGTGACCTGAGGGACATACCAGACATGTGTGCATGTGTGTGGGAAGAGAATGGAGGGGATAGGATTGTAGTATGGCCATCCTTCTCTGGGGAGGGTGTGTGTGTGTGAGTGATTTGTGTGTGTGCGTGTGTGTGAATGCAGATGCCCTATGGCAAAATAAACAAACAAACAAACAAATAAAAACAAGCAAACAAACAGAAAACAGAAGAAAACAAAGTATAATCTGGTAAATACATAAACCAGCAACATAGTCATTTATTATTATCAAAGTATTACTGTAAATAGTTGCATATGCTATGCTTTGATATGCTTGGCAATGCAGTAGGTTTGTTTACATTAGCACCTTGTGAGCGATATACATTGTATCTTACAGTAGCTATGATATCACTAGGCATTTCTGGCTCCGTTATAATCATAGGCACCACAACAGATGCAGTTCATTGTTGACATGTCATTAGGCAGTGCGTGACCATGTTGGGCACACCACCACTGATCACTGATTTTCTTAACGTTTTCATTGCAGTGTCAAAAACGGTATTTCTCTGCCTGGCACAAGCTGATTCTCGATCATAGGATTAAGCTGGGGAAAGCTGGGACCCTGTCCAACTGGAAATTGCAACTGAAAGTTCTGCGGGCCTGGAGAGACTACACAAGATCCCAGAAGTCAGAGCGGGAAACTCGGGCCTTGGAAAATGATCTTAGAGAAGAAAACAGGTACTATTATTTGTACTGTGAAAATCCGTCTAGTGTGTTTAACTGAGGACATCTTCCTCCTGAAGAATCCAGAAATAAACTCTAAAAATGCTTTTCATTGGAATCATCCACTTATAAAATATGATTATCGCAGTTTCCCTTTGTTACATCCTAAGCTAGAAAAAAAATTAACTAAAATTATAAGCAGACAAAATTATTTGACTGAAATACCTAACATACATGATTTTCTTTCTTCCAAGGAAGCAAGTATTTGACTTTTTCCTTGTCCTTGCACGTAGTAGCATTGTACCTCCAGCTGCCATACACTTCAGAAGGTTGAGTCTGGTTTCTATGCCAGTAATCTTCATTGACAGAAATCACCGTCCAGACACAAGGTATTATTTAAAGGTACAGGATACATGCATCTGGGAAGGCCAATCTGTGCAGCGATTCCTCCTGCTCTGCTCTCCCTCATTCCACACCTTTAGAGGTTTTCGACACCTATAGATCAGTTCCTTCTTATGATTGTGAATGACACAGAGTTTGTCTTCAAAAGAAGCTTTCTTTTCTCCATTATCTTAAGATTACATTGTCGGGACCAGCAGTAAGCATAATGGCTATGTCGTTGGACTCCCACATAGTCGACTGCGGTTCGCGTCCCGGACCCGGTGGCTTAAACTCACGCTGGGCGCGTGTGCATGCGTGCCCAAGATCCCGAGAAGAGAATGGAGGAGAAGGGATTGTGGCATGGCCATCCCCCATGGAGGGGTGATTTCTCGCTTTCTGTCTCTCTGTCTCTCTCTGTCTGTCTGACGAGCACACGTGCCCTATTGCAGAAACCTCTCAAAATAAATAAATAAATAAATAAAAGATTACATTTTCTTCTTCTCATTTCCAAATTCAACTTTGCATTCTTAAGTCAAAATCACAGATGTAGAAGGAACTTTTTTGGTTCTGTTTTTTTTTGTTTTTTGTTTTTATGGGTTTTGTGTGTGTGTGTGTGTGTGTGTGTGTGTGTGGCAGGGGGAATTCATGTTCATATGTGTAATCATGTCTCTACCAACAATGCTATCATTCATTCAGGATGAAAAATTAAGTGAATGGTATGTGAAAATATTTTTACATAGAAGGGCATGGCTCTCCCTGGAACTGCAACCTTGTGACAGCATCAGGCTTTGGAGAGAATACTTAGGAGATTAGCACAGGGCCCCTTATCCTCAAAGAAGTTATAGTTATGAGGAAAAGCAAGACAGATCATTGGTTTATAAACTAGTAAGTCATCAGGAAAGTCATGATGTATTTTTCTATTCAACAATGTGTCATGACTTTCCGGACAACCCAATAATACATGTCCATCTGCTGGCATACCATGGTAGAGGAAGTATTGCTATGGTAGAGGAGGCTCCTAAAGTGTGCCAAGAAAGGCTTTTTCAGGAAGAAGTAAGTAAGATGTTCCTAGCTGCAGATTGGGATACTGGAGTGATGGTGTGACATGCAGCCATCTGGATTGGCTGGAGATCACCTCTGTAAGGCCTTGAACGCCAGGACAGGAATTTGGGTATTGTTAGTAAATAAGGGGGTAGTCTGAAGGTTTTTAAACAGGAGGATGACCTAGTTGATTTCCCTTTCCTACAATATGCTGGGAGGAAATCTTCAATGAAAAAGAAAAAAAGAAAAGGTCGGCATGGAAAATTCTCCCAGAATTGTTTCTAGAATCTCAGAACCTCATGATTGATATAAGGAACTGGGATGATAGTTCACTGAAAAAGTAATGACTGGCAGAGTGTTACAGCTTTTTTAGAATTTGTCTAGCAGGTTTTCAGGTTTTTACTGGAAAGCCCTCCCCCCACCCACCAAAAAAAAAAAATGTAGTGGCTGGAAGTATTTGTTGGCTAAAGGAGGCAAATTAGAGGTATTGTAAAGTGGAAGCAATTTGAGTGAGGGCATAAAGCGAGTGAAAACTGAGATGCTAAAGATAAAGTGGCCTGTGGAATTTACATGCTAGAAGAAATTTGGAAGAAATATCTGGAGGACTTAAGATTCCATTCCAATTAAGCTGTTTAAATATAAAAGTACTTAACGATGATTTGATAATAGCATAATATGCCAATTTTTTTTTAAGATCTCAGAACTTTTTGTCTCATATCTGCAAATTATTTCCAGGTGTCTATTTTTAAATGTTCAGAATGAGTACTAAAATTTTTAAGCTGCTAGAGTTAGAAAATATTTAACTTATAATAATTTTTTACTATAAAGCTTTAGAGCAAAAAAAAAAATCTTAGAACAGGAAGGTACCTCAAAGATTGTCTGATCTAGCCTCTCATATTACAGATGATAAAAATAAGACCCAGACAGAATAAATTCCCCTTTCATGGTTACGGAGCAAAGAGTAGCTCATCAAAGACTAGGGCCTGGTTTCCTTGACTCTGAGTCAGCTCTTTTTCTGAGACTCCTCTGCTCCTTTGTTAAAACAAGCAGCCTGTAGGTCGTAGTTCCCATGACAGCCAGGCTTTTTGATTATATTGCAATTTACTGTAGATTGTTTCAGATGAACATGATGAGAAATAATTAACAAACATGATAGGTCACTGTAGAAACATGTAAGGAGAAAGGAGCTATTAGATCCAACCTTCCTTTTGTGCTGCTTTGCTACAAATCTCTCTTTGTACGCTGTACTTTGTTCTAGAAATCGTTTCAGGAAATTAAGTTGAGTGATTTTGTACAAAGACAGTAGGTATATTAAAAGTGGGGGGGAAAGCTCAAGAGTAGGTACCATGAGCAGAAATCAAGAAATACGGAATTGAGCGTGTCATGAGAGCCAGGACCTGTTTTACTCTGTTCTTCAGGATGTCTCCAGTGCCTCAGTGGACACTGAATACATTATTTGTGGAATAATAAGTAAGTCAGTAAATGAATGAAGAGTTCACTTTGTTTCCTGTCCTGCAATTAAATGTGATAGGGTTTTTAAGCATTCTTTCTAAACAGCTCCTGGGATAGGAGAGAGCATTTATTATAATGGGTTACTCATCATAGAAACTTAACTCTTTACAGATTGACAGAATAGGTGGTTGTGTTCCATCCTAGACATTGAAATCACCCCTTATGTCTGTTTTTCAGATGTCAGCTCTGTCCTCCTCCAGCTCCTGTACTCACATTTGTTTTTGCCACCTAGGATTTCCTCTCACTGGACTATCCCCATTGGAGGGCCAAGCCTTGCTGGCTTTTTTTCTTTTCTGTTTTCCTTTCTGTCTTTACTACTTTTTCTGTGGAGCAATTAAAAAAAAAAATCCCTCTCTTCTTATTATTCATAATTTAGGAACCATCTTTTCCTATTGCGCCTGTGTACTCATTAGGAGTTTCACCTCCACCCCAAAGGTCTACCTACTTATTTCTTCTAAAAATGCATTTTAATTTACCCTTAGGAAGAATTGTGGTCACTCAGTTTTGGTCCATCTCTTTTCTTCTTTTTAGTTTACGAGAGGTACATGCCCTTGGGAGGGAGTAGGGGAGATGGTCATGCCAGAGTCCCCTCTCCTCTCCTCCCTCCTTTCGGGACTTTTGGGCATGCATGCACATGTGCCTTGCATGTCTTTTTCAAGGGTCCAGGACTCAAACCAGGACTTTTTCAAGGGTCCAGGACTCCCAGCCTTGTGGGAGCCAGCCACCTTAATCACCAGGCCTCTGGCTGCCCCATTTTTCTTCTTTTAAAAGTAGTTTTGGTAATAGTGTTATAGAATTTCAGTACAATATTGTAATATAATTTCCTTTTTTTTTTTAGAGGTTTTTGCTATAGAGCGCATGCACTCGCCAGACAGAGAGAGACAGAAAGTGAGAAATCACCCCCCAGGGAGGATGGCCACACCGCAATCCCTTCTCCTCCATTCTCCTCTCGGGATCTTGAGCATGCATGCACACATGCCCGGCGTGAGTTTTAAGCCACTGGGTCCAGGACTCGAACCGCAGTCAACTACGTGGGAGTCCAGCGACATAGCCATTATGCTCACTGCTGGTCCCTAATTTCAGCATCAGTAATGATTTCCAAACTCTTAGGATTCACTTGCATAAGTAATGTAATAAAATTCTAATACACACACTAAGTTAAACACTTTGACATAGTGATATTGAAATTTGAAATGTATTTCAATTTTTTTGGGATGCTCTTTTTTTTTTTTTTTTTTTTTGCTTTTGCTTTTGCTATGGAACCCATGTGCTTGCCAGAGAGAGATCAACAGAGAGAGAGAGAGAGAGGAAAAGTGAGAAATCTCTCTGGGGATGACTATGTGGCAATATTTTCTCCTCTCAGGATTTTGGGCCTGCACACTCAAGCACCGGGAGTGATTTCAAGCCAGCCTCTGGGCCCAGTACTCAAACCGCTGAATCAGCTATGTGGGATCCAGCTGCCTTGATGTCTGTGCCACTCGCAGGCCTGGATGTTCCCTTCTGAAAGTTGGTTCTGATCTTCTATTCCTTCTCTCTCATTTTCTCCCTCAATTTATGGCCAACTTTAAACAAAATTGGGAAGAAACAGGTTTGTTTCCGACATCCTCTGCTAGCGCTTTCTCAATCCTGCCCTCCCGATTTCTCAGTTCCTTCCCAAAAAACACCTCTGCCCTTCCCAGTATTAACCTCCACAGTGTGTTCAGTCAGGTCCTCTCTTGTGCCCGGGCTCTAAACTTTTCCTCAGACAGACTTTTATCTCTGCCCTTTGTCCCTCACAGCCCTTACTCTGTTATTACAGTCCTCAGGTGATACGTTATCCCTCTCAAGAAACTTACTTACACTTTAATAAGATTATTAGAAACAGTGCCTAACATATGAGAGGCAGGTATCTAAGAGTACTGTGGCAAGCTGGTGAAAAGCCTGGCCCCTGGGACCAGCAGATAGCATAATGGCTATGTCGCTGGACTCCCATGTAGTCGACCGTGGTTCGCGTCCTGGACCCAGTGGCTTAAAACTCACACCGGGCGTGTGTCCATGCATGCCCAAGATCCTGAGAGGAGAATGGAGAAGAAGAGATTGCGGGGGGTGATTTCTCACTTTCTGTCTCTCTGTCTCTCTCTGTCTGTCTGGCGAGCACACGAGCCCTATAGCGAAAACCTCTCCAAAAAAAAAAAAAACCTGGCCCTTCACTTTTAGCATCTCTCAAACGATGTCATTCATTCATTTGTTCATTCATTCATTTTGGAGAATAAATTTGTTCAATCAACGAGCTTTACTGATGCTTCCACTATACTGTGCTCTCTCCAAGTCCTGAGAGTTGGACTAAAGAAAGTATTAAACAAATTCTTTCCTTGTAGGAGTTTACAGTCTAAGTGAAAAAGTTAAAAATCATACCCAAATACTAAAAATAATTGCAACAGAAGGCATCGTAAGATAAATATTTAAGAGTGACATAGACTTGGCTATCATGAATTATGATCCCCTGAGGAGGTTTTTAAAATAGGAATTCATGGGCCCCACCTTCTGAGAAGCAGAATGTGGCTAAGAAGAGGGCCTTTTAAAATTTGGGGAACACTGATAAACCAGTACATAGTCAGGCTTGCGTGGGAACAGGTCAACGGGAACACACCAGACTCTCTCAGAGGTGGGGAGAAGTGGAGCTAAGCTGAAAAGAGACTGTCAGATATCTTCCTTTTTCAGTACTTCTGATTTCAGCGTTCTTTTGGGCAATCATTTTGGAGTACCTCTATTTAATCATGTTCAATTGTCCTTTTCTCTGTGCACACCTGGGTATCCAGATGAGCCACCAGAAGCCACATGGCATCCGCAGCTAGTAAAGCTCCTGATGTTGTCTTTCAGAGGGGCAGGAGGACCCGACCTGCATTGCCTGGCTCACTTTAAAACTCTTTACAACAGAGCTGTCTTAGCCCACTTCTTCCCTGGGGGCTACCTGGCACATTATTGAATACATCCCCTTATTCATTCCGATTCCTGTAGATCCTGCTCGTTCCAAACGCAGCTGTTCATGTCACTGCTGTTTTTATGTTCTGCGTCAGATTTCATCACTTAATCAGATCACAGTGTGTGGTTATTTAT